GACTGAGTGCCCACCTACTTAAGCGCTCTAAATAGGTTTAGCCCCAAGAAATATGGGCCCGCCAAGCGCCGGTATTATCGAAACTATACGGTACCACCTAGCTGAAATATGGAGGGAGGGGTTGGCCCCCAAGCTCACATTTATGCAACCACCCGTAGCCTTGCGGCAAGCTACACCACCTACCCAAGTGGTCATTGCCACCAACATATCAATGTTTATGTTTCAAGTTATAGATTAATTTTGCCAACACAAACTTGAACGGTCCGAATTCTGTAGATTCTATGTTGACAGGTCATTTTTAGATCTTTGCCTGCAGAGTTTCTATTGTACTAGTGAAAGTACCTAAATGTTCCCCGATTGGTTTAGCTTGTTTCTACATACGTAACATTTGAAGAGTCTGGCTGACATGGTACTTGGCACTGTAGAAAAAGACGTGAATAAAAAGGAAAAGAAAAAAAAAGTGACAGTACCAGGATTGCCACTGGCGAGTGTTGATGTCTTATGTTGATCTCGCTGGGGGTCGAACCCAGAATCTCCTGATTACCGTGAAGCATCCGTTGTCGAGTTGTCTCGTAATGAACGCTCGTCGTAGTCAGACGCCTTGCCATTGGGCCACGAAACCGACACCTTGCGGCGCAACTTCACTCACTCTGACCTCGCTGGGGGTCGAACCCAGAATCTCCTGATCGCCGTGAGGAGTCATTTCTGAATGATCTCTCTCTCGTAGTCAGACGCCTTGCCATTGGGCCACGAGGCCGTGGTTGGTTGAGTTGATCGGGCCGTACAGTGGTGTATTGAATTGTTTGCAAAATTTCTCTGCGGCAAGACTAAAATTGGAATAGTCTAGTTTTTAATCTGTTTCTTCTGTATGACTCGTAGGAGTACAAAAGAAACTGGGGTCGGGAGGGTCCTAAAAAGTCCTCTCGGTACCGTATCACTACACAATAAAACTTGTTACAAACTGCACTGTGTTTCCATGCTTAAAGGTAAAGAGAGGGAAAATACAAGAGGACATGTTATTCTATCGCTAGATTACTGTTAATACGTATTATGGGCATCTTATTATTTATGGTAATGTCTAGATAAGCTGCTGGCGGTGGGATATTGATTAAACTCTGCTTATTTAAGAGATTATTAGAGTGGACGTAGCCGGCCAAGTAACTACTTGCTGGGATCAGGCAAGAAGGTCGGTCGACCTTAAAATCTCAGTGCCAATAGGGGCGAGTATTACTAGGCTTCCATGTATATCAGAAAGGCCCCAGGCTCGAAGGGTTAATGCTTATATGTTTAGGAACGACTCTTAGGGAAGGACAAGGTTTTACTTAATAGCAAAGCGCGTACTGAGAGACGACTCTCTTAAATCCTAACAACCCTATCTAAAGCAATCGCTGCAGGACATCTTGGGACTAGGTCCTAAATTCGTTAATACCCACATGGAAACTTCCCATGAAACAACCAGAAAAGGTAGAAACTCTACAGGGGAGTTTCTTAGTTAAGAAAATGCTTTGGATAATAGCAATAGAAAGGTTTAGCAATTGTTAACACAGCCAACTTTAAACAAAGGCGGATTTGAATTTGCCATACAGGGTCAGTGGAAGGGTGCCGAATCCCTTGTTCGAGTCTCCTGGGATACGTATCGCCTCCCAGACTTTGGGTTCGTGCCAAGCGTATGGCATGTTCTTGTTGTCTTTCCATCCGGTATATCGTCCAACCATGCGCATGCTTCGATTTAGATCTTGAAGTCTGCTAGCTTCTCCATGGGCTTGACCCTAGCCAGGTGTCTAAAACTTTCTATGAAGCTAAAATAAACCGATAATAGCTACATAGAGATATAGAATGAAGCCTTTTAAAAGATCATTTCTAAAGACTAAAAAGATTAAGGTTCTCTTGTTAACCCTTTTAATCTCTACAGCAGGGCTACTTGCTTACGATGTAAGTTCTGTATACTTAGCTAACTTACCCTCCACTCCTAAAAATTTCCAGCGGCCTATTAGCTGTTATCCAGCTGTAGTTACTATGTAATCTAGCCGTGAGACTGGCCCACAGCCTTTACTCCGCCCCCACTCCACCCTCCAAAAAATTTGAATGAAAAAAAAAATTGTCGCTCCCAGTTGACTGGGAGGCGCTGGGAATTGAGCCCAACGCGGGGGTCGAACCCGCAACCTTGAGATTAAGAGTCTCACGCTCTATCCAATTGAGCTAGCCGGGCGGCTACGAGTTGTAGAGATTAGAGAATCCCGGAATCCCGTTGCCGTTGCTTGTTGGAAGAGAGGGGTGCTAACTGACTAGATATATCCTCAGAAGGGCTGGGACTAGCCTTTGGAATTTCTTGTTAAGGGGAAGAGAAGAGGGGTTTCTACTAGAACTGCTGGATTGTAGAATTCAATTCTGCAAATAGGATGGGAAACCGAATATTGATTGTTGCGTTCGTTGGAATTGATTGTGAATGATGATGTTATAGGCTATTACCCAGTGCGGTAGGTACCGTGACGTTCCTTCCTCCCACATTCTAGCATCTCCTACTTTAATTACCAAATGACGGAGTGACCATAGGTTAGCTAACTCTATTCATTTAAGCTTAATCTTTTAATAGCGTCCCCTTTGATTTATCAGGTTGATACTTCCTAGATATCTAGATCTTTGGCTACTATGCGTATACACGCTTTTTGGACGGACCATGTAATTTTATACAAATACAAGAACTATATATACACGTGAAAGCCCATAAACCATTTGGTATTATCTCTATTATAGAACACATCTAGACCGTTGGCCAACTAGCCGAGTTTCATCTTCGGACCAAAGTAAAAATTGTTAGGCTTACCTGGTCACGAATGGTACGGTACCTGTCTGGTACGATGTTCTCGGCAATGCGAGGCAAATGAGGCGGCACAGGTATAAAGAAATTATTCGCGCGCGACAACGAGGATAGTAGGTAACTCACATTAAAAGCGATAGCTCAACCGGAACTCGACATCCATGGCCCGGTTCGTTAATGACGAGCCGGCATGATTTCGTAGGCCTCACAAACCTTCAGCAGGCGCCCGTAGAATGCTGCCTCATACAGCCTCTGTGTCATCGCTCGTATTATCAATCGGAGCTATCACGTCCGGAGGCCTGGTCTTTGACACTGTGGTTGTACTAGTGTGGCCATGCTATTAATGTTCGAGCAAGAGTTTTTACACCTTAGTCTTCTAGGCCGCAGCCCAACCGGCCAGCTAAGGGGACAGCAGGACTTCGGTTTGAAGTCATGATTCGCCGAGGGTTCGCCCTCAGCCAGAAGGGCTAATCTCGCTCTTCGGTGAGGTTCAAGGTCCTGGTGTGTTGGCGGCCGTTCCGCACTGGGAAGGCTGGAGTAGGAAATGAGGACGCCGCTCTTGTCCTGCCTGCCTTGTATCTGACGGTGAATGATAGCCTCTTAACATTTGCAAGAGCGGATGTGATGCGTCACGAAACACGACCGTGACACTATGCCGCCACTCTGCAGAACTGGCAACCTTGTGAAGTCGGGCACTTGACTGCCTGGACGGGTCCAGGATTGTTGTTGCTTGTATGCTTGTAGTTTGAACCAGGTACATTTTCCGAGACTAAACCTAGCTTTAGAACTATTAGAACACATTGCAAATATATCGGAAAGGGGGTGTAGATTGCTTGAGGAATTGTCTTTGATTGTCTTACAGTTTCATATGAGACTCTAATGTGTATATGAAGTATTAGGGATGAGGTTATTTCCATACGGTTTTGTAGCATATCGCGGCGCTATTTCCCCCAGTGTACCTTAGTGTAATAGCGTACTCTGCGATATCTACGGTGGCCCACAGCTCTTACTGTGTCATAACCATATGCCTTAACGCATATACCTATTGTCCGACCCACTCAAACCTTCAGAATTGTCCTAATGTAGCCTAGTGTGCCAAATAATGCCCATTTGAGTCTAGGTCTGCATACCGATTTGGTATAGCGCAGCCAAAAAATATATCTCTTATAGTCATAATATCTGCTTAAATATATATAATACAAATATGCTTATATTAGCTAAAAGATATAAACTATAGCTATATAATTAAAAGCACATCCGTTTAATGCGCATTTACAGGGGCTATATTATTTATATGAAGTATTATAGATTTATTGTTGATGCTGCAGAGTTAATCGCGTTGAAAGGGTAAAAGTTGGCCCATGTTAGGTGTTATAGTGTTTAAGGTGAAGGTTATGACACAGTAAGAGCTGTGGGCCACCGTAGATATCGATGTTGTTGGCTATGTAGGCAAAGTACTAACGATGAGCTATCATCGGATCGGAACACTCTCGCCCTATGATGGACTTGCACCTGGTGTTGTCTGGAATTCGGCGCCACACTATGACGGCGCCCTACCAATGAAATGCTGTGGCATAGGCACTTACTGTACGATACATTGCACAGCACTATCGGATTGCCGCTAATCTATATTCGACTAGTGACTGGGGCAAAACGCAAAGTGCATGCAGAGGCGTGCTAAGAGCCCATCTATGACGTTCTGATTGGCTTGACGCGTCATTAGGGATTCCAAAACAACACGGCGCGTCCATCCAACGACACCCCTCCCTTAATTCTCGTGTGCGACCAATCTGGAATCACTCTACGCGCTGCCCTTCCTCGTCCAATCGCTTACATCCACCTTGTTAATCCCAGACGATTTTTGCAACCTCGTACGAGCTGCATCCTTCCGGTCGCACATTTTTTTTTGTACCACAAGCTGCGGGGGCTAAGCATAGAAGGACGGAAAACGAACAGAACATTACCTATGTAGAGCTTGGAGTGAATGGATAAGGTAGACTCAGCCAGCTTTAGAGTCTCAACAAAAATACGATCGATCGATTGAATTTCTCGAACAAAACGAACGCACATCTCCGGCAGATTACCGTTCTTACCTTCTCTCAATCCAGACAGGTTCGGCCTTACCGCGAATGCATCGACATAAGTTCCATCGATCTGCAGCCTTCAGACGACTTTTTGTTCGCTCGTCTTTCTCCAGTTTCGAGAGTACTTACCATTTCACGCACTTCTCTTCCTATCTCCAGGCCACTTCGAAGGTCAAGAGTCACACCACGCCCACGCCAATAATTGATCGAGCCTTGCATCAGAGCTGGAATTGAGGTGTAGGCAGGTACGCTTCCTAAGTCTAGTCCATGTGGAACGTCTAATAAATGAGCTGGTCCTGACCCGAGTCCGTCGCAAGCAAGCAGAGATACCGTCCAACTATTAGCAGATGGTTTATGCCGACCTTAATTAGCTCCACCCCTTGCGCCGGATCCTTGCCCGCTGCTGTACACTACGCTACAGTTAACTACCCACTTCTATATCTTGCTTACCATCATCGTATCAGCCCAGAGCACTCTGGACCAATCCTCTCCCATTCTCAGCTGCTTCTGCCGGGAACGCGACTCCACATTACCCCACCCCGCTGCTGCGTCCCACTGGCGCCCCACTGCTGAGTTGGCGGACTAAGCCCTACTAGGTCGTCTATTTCGCACACTCAGGTGCCATCTTCCCTCAGTTCCATTCTTTCTGTCCTTCAGACACCTACCGGCAAGACTGGGCATACCTCTGGTACCCACCCAACCTACCTAAACCTGTTCTTCAGTGCTCTTTAGCAGGTGGACGCCCCCAACTGTACGTACCGTGCCTCCCCTCGGGACTCTCTTCCAATCCATTTGCACGCCCAGCTGTCACTCTTCCTCCCCCAGATCTCGACGATCCAGCTCCCCCCTCCCTTTCGTCTCCTAACCATCTCCTCTCCCATCCTAGTTTGTCTACCGTTCAGCATCGCTACATTCAGCCGTTTGTGTTACTGCTCGTCGGTGAACCATCCCTCTCAATCACCTTGTGCAGTTTCCTGCTCTTCACCATAGTATTTTCGGATTCCATAAACAGGGACTTACCTGCGCAGAAGCTTTTCTGCCTAGCGATATCCACAGCGCCCAAAGGTCACCCTTGCTTCACGTCTCCACTGCTCATCTCTGAACCATTTTCCCTTAACCCAGAGGTGAGTCTTCCCTTCCTTTCCATTAAAGTGGCTGGCGTCATGCAATTCCCGAGAGACCCTACTACCTTAGCTACTTTACCGTTTTCATCACGAATCAACTCATGCCTCCTGCGCCTTCCACGTCCACCCTATTGACTTTGACACCAGCAGACCGCATCTGACGCCGATAGTCCGCAGTGCGTGCTCGCTCCTATTATCCCTGGTCAGCATGGCCAGACCGACACGCTTTGCCGCTCCGAACGAGCCGCTACAGATCTATCAAGACGAGTTCCAGGACGAAAACTTTGCACAACCAACACCCTCAATAAGCCGAGCTCCAATGCCGTCTGTAGGAAAGCAATCCACTCCGCGTCGCGCCTTGCAAAGCTCGAACGGCAATACAGTCTTCAATCCTCCCAATGGCCACAGAAAGCATCACTCACCTCACAAGGGCGTAGGCCAGTCTTCAGCCACTCCCCTAGGCCTATCACAAGCACGCAAGCTAAATACGATAAACATATGCCCGCCTCCTTTGAATGCGCAAGCTACCGATTCGATGCCGAAAAAACCTTTAATGTCGACATTTAAGACGGCTAGCTCTAGACAAGCGGGCGTCGACAAGGAAAACGTACATCCAACTTTGTATCCGGCGCCCCCATCGTTTAGTCTCAACGTTGAGGAGTATTATCCAACTCCGACAGGCAAACGTGCCCTCTTAGAAGCTGCCCCTATTTCGGAATCAAGACCATCTAAAAAACCTAAGATTGATGAGCCAAACCATCCAGATCCGACCGCTTTTCTTCCTATATACGACGATGGGACGAAGCCCGGCTACAGCTACGCACAGTTGATCGGAATGGCAATTCTTCGCTCACCTCATGGGAGGCTCACTCTTGCTCAAATATACAAGTGGATCTCCGATACGTTTTCATTCTACAATGCCAATGATGCAGGCTGGCAGAATAGTATCCGACACAATCTAAGTCTCAACAAGGCCTTCATCAAGCAAGAACGTCCAAAAGATGATCCTGGAAAAGGAAATTACTGGGCTATTGAACCGGGCATGGAGCAACAATTCTTGAAAGAAAAGCCGAGTAGGAAGGCTTCGGTAGTGTCAGAAAACGTGCACATTATGTCGATGGTGCCACGTGTCGATTATTCCCAATTCGAAGCGCCGTATCTTCAAGATGGACTACCGTCACTA